CTAAAATCACAACTCAGTCCCATCTCCATCTCTCACTCTCTCACCCATCTCCGACGAAATCCGTCCCCATCTCCGGCGAAATCCGTCTATCTCCATCTCTCAGAGCCACCCTCACAATCAGAAATGGAAAATCAACCAAATCAACCAACGAGGGTTAGTTTTTTTAATTATTTTCTTTTTGAAATTTTTGCATTATTATTAGGTTTTTCATATTGAAATTGATGATAAGTTTACTGGTAATTTCAATAATAGATTAACCATTTCACTTAGATTGCTTATTAAATCAACCGAGAATCGCAACGCGAAATAAAAATCGCAACGCGATTTTAGTTTCGCGTTGTGATAGTCAAATTCGCGTTGCGATAGTCATTTTCGTGTTGCGATTTTCATTTTCAGAAGCTATTCTTTTTCTGCAAATTGAAACTTGAATGAATTGCATTACTTCAACCAAAAAACAAAGACAAATACGAAATTCATAGTGTTGCAAATTTAAGTTTGAAGAATAAACTACTACTCTTTATGTTTATTATTGTTTTTGGTATATCTAACTTAGTATGTTTATTGTTTTTGTAGAACTTTTATTCGGCTCAATTGACCTTAAGAAATAAAGTCAGCCTGGCCAAAACAATTGCGTCGAAGCTTTCACCTGCACAAAGAAAAATGTTTGAGGATACATGCTTCGGGCCATGGCTGAAAGTACAACATCCCGGTGGAGATGCGATGTTGACACACCTGTTTCTTCAAACCATGACTAGCGATCTACCAGAGACTATACAACGTCGTGATGAAAAGATATGATTTGATTTTTCACCGGCGTATACGTGTTTTGGGCGGGAGGAGTTTTGCTTAATCACCGGTCTACGCTTCGGACATGATGATGTAGGTCGGTACACTAGACACATTACCCGCCCATCATGGCTATCCCGGGTTTTTCCTGAGCTGGAGAGGCCGAATCTACACGTAGAAGACCTGACAAGATTGTTGAATAAGAAAGATGGTTTTACTCGGATGGATGACGTCGACGTTGTCCGAGTATGCCTTCTAATTCTTTTGCATGCCGGCTTTTTAGGCAGAGAGGCCAGACAACCTATTCCAAAAGATCTAATCAAATTGGTAGAAGACCTAAATGCGTGGAACCTGTTTCCGTGGGGCTCGTATTTATGGAAAGGCACATGGAATAAGTTATCGTCTGCCTTGGATGATCGAAAAAGTTTGCATGGCGATGGTTCCAAATACACTTTGACAGGCTTTATTTGGGCCTTTAAGGTAAGAATTTTTATATAATGTTTCCAAAATTATAACTAATTATTTAACAATTACTAATGTTTGTTATTATATTGTTTGTAGATTTGGATATTTGAGGCATTTCCCGCCATGAAGACATATGCAATAAAAACTTCAAATGATATTCCCAGGGCTATTTCCTGGAAGAGGAAATGGACCTTGCAATGGGAAGATTTACTACGGTATACGACAATAAATAATGTAAGTTAACATAAATACTACCATATGTTTATAAACAAGTTATTACTAGTACACGTTTAACTTTGTTTGAGCTTTTATATTGTTAGGAGGCCAACACTCCTCTACAGAGGCTGACACCCACGGAAGCTGAGCTTGCCACTGATTGGTGGCAAGCTAGTAAGCGTTTTTTTTATGGAACGGTTGATGAGCAGCCTCCACTTCGGGAGCCATCACCTCGCCCAGAGCTATCACCTCACCCAGAGCCATCATCTGATCGACCCGACTATACACCTCCACAACGACAGCCATCACCTATTCTGTCACATCATCGAGCCTCTTCTCCACCATCACCGCAAGATAGGCGACCGGCAAAGATGCCACGACGTTTATCTCCATGTTCTCCACCTCCACCTCAACGGGATGAGTTAGGGGAGTTACGTGATGAGGTCAATGCCTTGCGTGAGGAGGTCGGTACTTTACGCAAAGACGATGGTGCATGGCGTGTTGAGGTGTCTACATTACGCGGTGAGGTAGCCGCTCTACGTGAGATGGTAGTATCGTTGCAGAATGAGGTTCATACTCTACGCAACGAGGTAAGTTTAAGATTTTTCATACTCGTAATTCATTCGGTTACTGCCAATACTGCTAAACTGTTTTTTGTTAGTATTTGTTTTTGGTTTTGTTTTTGTCTTTTGGTTGAAGTAATGCAATCCATTCAAGTTTCAATTTGCAGAAGAAGAATAGTTTACTTTCGCAACACGAAAATGACTATCGCAACGCGGAAATGGCTATCGCAATGTGAAATGAAAATCGCAACGACAAAATCGCAATGTGAAATGAAATCGCAACGACAAAATCGCAACGCGAAATGAAAATCGCAATGCGATTTGTGTTTCGCGTTGCGATTTTGTCGTTGCGATTTCATTTCGCATTGCGATTTTGTCGTTGCGATTTTCATTTCGCATTGCGATTTTGTCGTTGCAATTTTCATTTCGCATTGTGATAGCCATTTCCGCGTTGCGATAGTCATTTTCGCGTTGCGATTTTAAGTTTCGTGTTGCGAAAGTAAACTATTCTTCTTCTGGAATGTTTATATATGTTGTCCTTTTAAATGTTTATATAAGTGCTTACTTCTGGAATGTTATCTGAGCATTTTGTGAACTATGATAGAATAATGACTTGGGTGAATACAATGCTAGTTTGAAACATATTTGTCTTTGTTTAATATCATGTTTGTTTATTTACTGATTTATGTATTAATTTTTTTTAGCGGCCCGATAAGGTGGATGCTTTACGTCGGGTTTTCCTTGCACGACGGAGTTCACGCATCAGACCGCAGTTGATTTTTATCTACATGAGCGGAGCCAAGGGTGTTACACTGACATAAGCAAACTCAACGCTGAAATGTTTTTGTTGCTTGATCGGTCTTGGTGGGGTGTGCTATTAGGGGTTGAAGACAGTGGCTATTTCGATGGGGAGGTAAGTCTTATATTTGTCTTATACATGATTTTGATTAATTTTTTTAAAAATTAATGTAATTCACTAATATATGTATTTTTTTTGTAAAACAGCATATCGATGCGTGGGTGTTACGTCTACTAATAATAAGGAAGCTTAGGGAAAAAAAATCGCGATATACAATAATGCCAGCGGTTTTTCACGCAGTTCACTTGAAGAATCGACGAGATGAATCATTTTCGTTGGGCAATGGACAAGCTAAACTTTATCTTGCATGGTGGGAGGTCGATAAGGTTAGTGTTTATTTTTTAAATTTTTTAAAGGTGTTCATAAATAAGTGCGCAAATAAATGAATTATTACTTATGATTGCAGGTGTTTATCCCTGTTTTGGAACGTCGTCATTGGCTTCTCGTCCAACTTCAGCTTCCATCCCTGAAGATAATAGTATATGACAGCATGATAAATTACATATCACTGTCTGATTTGAGAGATATGATCAAGGGATGGAGCTCTCATTTGGCTAAATTCTTGGATGGGATTAATTATTGGACTCATTCTGGACACAAGAAGCCAAAGAAGTTCAATGTCACAGTTGTCAGAGACGAGACCGCGCCACAACAATCGCCGGGAGCTAGAGGGGATTGTGGTCCTCTCATATGCTTGTGCTTGGCGCGTTTGACGACGGGAAGCACAGAGTTTCTACCTCCCACCGATAGTGATAGAGCTGCAGTAGGCTTGTGGTTTCGGCATTATATGGCTAGAGCAATATATTCGAGACGCTGCCTACCTGCATCCGCCTTATGAAAGTGTCCATTGTTAATTGGTAAGTCAAATGCAAGTTTTGTTAACATATATACTCCTTTTGGTTTGAAAATGTTTGGTTAAGTACCTAGAATTCAATAATTTGCTGTTTGTAGGTTTTAGATGTATAGGAAGTCTTGTTTGAGCAAATGTTTGGTTTCTGCAGGTTAATCCTTAAGTGAGCTGCGTGAAATGGATGTACGGGGTCACAAAGTTGTTGATTCATTAATTCAATTATTTATGAAGAAATAAGAATTATTATTATTTTTTGATTGTTTAATTGATTTGTAAAAGATGATTTGTAAATGTTGATTTGTTTAATTGATGTGTACATAATTCTTATTTGTGCTTGTTTAATTGATTAAAATGTAATAGTTGATTTGTTGATTTTCAATCTGCATTATGTTGAAGGCAAAACAGACTATCGCAACACGAAACTGACTATCGCAACGAGAGAATCGCAATGCGAAATGAAAATCGCAATGCTAAATGAAAATCGCAACGAGAAATCACAATGCGATTTTCATTTCGCATTGCGATTTTCTCGTTGCGATAGCCATTTTCGCGTTGCGATAGCCATTTTCGCGTTGCGATAGTCAAATGAATGTCTAACACCATGAACATTCTCTCATGACCCTCCAAAACACAAATCTATCCAAACATGATCAACATTAGATGATTTCATGGTTGTAAATTAATTTACTAAACAAACGAGCTGCGAAACTAAGACCTGTTGCCGGATGGGGAAGGATGTAGGAACGGATATAGAAACGGATGTCGCCAGAGAGAGTGAAAGATGGAGATGAAATGAGTTACGATTTAGGGATTTAGGTTTTGAGTTGTTGCTGCTGCGTAGATATATACCCAAAAAAATTATGTTGTTAAACTAAAACCTGTTGCGAACTTTGAAAATCGCATTGCGATTCTGTATTATCTCGTTGCGAAAGTCAGAATCGCGTTCCGAAAGTCAGTATCGCGTTACGAAAGTCAGTATCGCGTTGCGATAGTCAGTATCGCGTTGCGATTTTACCAATTCGTGTTGCGATTTACTTATTCGCATTGCGAATTGGGAAAATCGCAACGATACTGTAGACCATCGCAACGCGATTTCCAACTATCGCAACGCGAAATGTAACGCGAATTTGCGATAATGGAGATCGCGTTGCGAATTAGAGATCGCATTGCGATTTTGTTGGTCATTTTTGCAAATCCGGAAAAAGTTAATTAAAATCGTATATTATAAGACATTTTTGATCACTCAAACGATTTTTTCTTTTTCGAGACTTCCAGAAATCTTCTTCTTAATAAAGTTTCTGGGATTGTTCTTTTTTCTTTTAATTTGAAAATGGAGTGGAATGCCGAAACCCTTCAATTCCTCTCACAATGTTTCCTCCACACACTCTCGCCCCAGCCGGAACCTCGACGCGCCGCCGAATCTTCCCTAGCCGAAGCTGCGGATCGTCCAAACTACGGTCTCGCTGTTCTCCGTCTCGTGGCGGAGCCTTTCGTTGACGAGCAGATCCGTCAAGCTGCCGCTGTTAACTTCAAGAACCACCTGAAGACCCGTTGGGTTCCCTCTAACGATTCCAACGCCGGCGCCACATTTTCCCCGATCCTCGACCCTGAGAAGGATCAAATCAAAACCCTAATCGTCTCGCTCATGCTATCTTCTAGCCCTCGCATTCAGAGCCAGCTCAGCGAAGCCCTTGCAGTTATCGGTAAGCACGATTTCCCCAAATCGTGGCCGACTTTGCTTCCCGAGCTCATCTCCAATCTCCAAAAGGCTGCACAGTCCTCTGAATATGCTTCCATTAACGGTATCCTCGGAACTGCAAATTCAATTTTCAAAAAATTTAGGTATCAGTATAAAACGAACGACCTTTTGCTTGATCTAAAGTACTGTTTGGATAATTTCGCGGCTCCATTATTAGAAATCTTTCTTAAAACTGCTTCATTAATTGACTCAACGGCTGCTGCTCCTGGCGGTGGTTCCCCTGCGACCCTCCGGCCTCTCTTTGAATCTCAGAGGTTATGTTGTAGGATATTCTTTTCATTGAACTTCCAAGAACTGCCTGAATTCTTCGAGGATCATATGAGGGAGTGGATGGGTGAGTTTAGGAAGTATTTGACCACAAATTACCCTTCTCTTGAAAGTAGCAGTGATGGGCTAGGATTGGTCGATGAACTTAGGGCTGCAGTATGTGAAAATATTAGTCTTTACATGGAAAAGAATGAGGAGGAATTTCAAAGTTATTTAAATGAATTTGCATCAGCAGTTTGGAGTTTGCTTACAAATGTGTCTCAATCTTTTAGCCGCGATAAACTGGCTGTTACAGCAATGAAGTTTTTGACCACAGTTAGTACAAGTGTGCATCATACTTTGTTTGCTAACGAAGGGGTACTACCACAGATTTGTCAGAGTATTGTGATTCCAAATATGCGGTTGAGGGATGAGGATGAAGAGCTTTTTGAGATGAATTATATTGAGTTCATCAGGAGGGATATGGAAGGGAGTGATCTTGATACAAGGAGAAGGATTGCTTGTGAATTGCTTAAAGGGATCGCAACTAACTACAAGAAACAAGTGATTGATATCGTTTCTGTTCAGATTCAAAATTTGTTGAGCTCGTTTGTGACAAACCCCTCTTCCAATTGGAAGGACAAGGACTGTGCCATATATTTGGTCGTCTCTCTTGCAACTAAGAAGGCTGGGGGCACTTCTGTTTCAACAGATCCTGTGGATGTTCAGTCCTTCTTCTTATCAGTTATAGTCCCCGAGTTACAAAGCCAAGATATTAATGCTTTTCCAATGCTCAAGGCAGGTTCTCTTAAATTTTTCACAATGTTTCGAGGACTGATACAAAAGCCTGTTGCATTTCAATTGTTCCCAGATTTGGTTCGATTTTTGGCTGCCGAATCAAATGTAGTTCATTCTTATGCTGCAAGCTGTATAGAAAAACTCTTGCTTGTGAAGGATGAAGGGGGAAAAGGTAGGTATACTTCAGCAGATATAACTCCTTTTGTGCCCGTGCTGATGAACAACCTTTTTAATGCATTGAAGTTTCCAGAGTCTGAGGAGAATCAATATATAATGAAATGTATATTGCGTGTGCTAGCAGTTGCAGACATTTCACGTGAGATTGCTGGACCTTGCATTGTTGGGTTAACTTCTATTCTCAATGAAGTTTGCAAAAATCCAAAAAATCCAATTTTTAACCACTATCTATTTGAGTCCGTGGCTATTCTTGTCAGACGGGCATGTGAGAGGGATGCATCTCTTTTATCTGCTTTTGAATCAAGCCTCTTTCCCAGTCTCCGAACCATCTTGGCCACTGAAGTGACTGAGTTCTTGCCTTATGCATTCCAGCTGTTGGCCCAGCTTGTTGAACTGAACAAACCACCCATCTCTCCAAGCTACTTGCAGATTTTTGTGCTTCTCCTCTCCCCTGAATCATGGAGGAGATCTTCGAATGTTCCAGCTCTTGTGCGTCTGCTTCAGGCTTTCCTGCAGAAGGCACCCCATGAGCTCAATCAAGAGGGGAGACTGAACCAGGTTCGTGGTATTTTCAACATGCTTGTCTCATCTGCTGGCACAGATGAACAGGGCTTCTATGTTCTTAATACTGTGATTGAGAATGTTGATTATGGTGTCCTATATCCATACATGAGTAATATTTGGAATGTCCTTTTTATGCGCCTCCAAAACAATCGTACTGTGAAATTTCAGAAGTCCCTTGTGATATTCATGTCACTCTTTTTAGTCAAACATGGGGCTCAAAATCTAATGGACTCAATGAATGCAGTTCAGGCCAACATATTCTTGGTAATTTTGGAGCAGTTCTGGATTCCCAATCTTAAGCTGATTATTGGAGCGATTGAGCTTAAGTTAACGGCAGTTGCTTCTACAAGACTCGTATGCGAATCTCCGGTGCTTTTGGATGCTGCAGCTGCAAGGGTCTGGGGCAAGATGCTGGATAGCATTGTTACCCTTCTTTCACGGCCCGAGGAGAACAGAGTTGAGGAAGAACCAGAAATGCCAGATATTGCAGAAAATGTAGGATATACAGCCACTTTTGTCAAACTTTACAATGCTGGGAAGAAAGAGGATGACCCTTTGACTGATGTAAAGGATCCAAAGCAATTCTTAGTAGCTTCATTAGCAAAACTTTCCGCAGTTACCCCGGGGAGATATCCCCAGATCATCAATGAAAATCTTGAGCCAGCGAATCAAACAGCATTACTTCAGCTTTGCACCACTTATAATTGCCAAATAGTTTGAGTAAGTTACTTTCTGCACTTATAATTATTTCAGCTTCACTTCAGATTTGGTTTTAGTGAGTGAAACTGCATGCATATGTGATAGTGTGCAAGCTACTATTTACCTGAACATCCAATTGCATGGTGCTTTAATCTTCAGAAAGCTGCCTAATTGTGATTTCTGGAGTCATATAAGACTCGGTAATAATTGTGCTCATTTACCCGACAAAGCTCTTGATTTTCTCTTTATATCTACTGAAACTTGTTTCTTCTGCTCTCAGTCTAATCCACTGCAAATCTGCTCCATCTCCAAACTCCAAAGAAATGATTCTCTATTTTTTATGTTTAAATTTCAATAGCAATGTGTTGTTCGGGGTGTGCATTCTCATCGGTTGGTTTATTGCTAGATTGCAGGGTTATTGTTTCTTCCTTATTTTGGTGGTTGCATTTTGGTGCCTTACTTGAAAATCATGCATTTGTCAGCAGCGGTTAGTGCATTTTGACATATAGTTGAAGGATCATATGTGCCGGTGGATTTTGCAGTTGCGGTTGCTCTCTCAATTCTGCTTCCTGTGGTTCCACTGGTACGCAGTTTAATGGATAGCCACCCTTTCTAGTCTGGTTTTGTTGTCATAAAGTTGTAAGATCCTGTTGTGTCCTGGTGAAAAGATTTGTGTAAAACTTCAATTTTCCTTCATTTTGAAATAGTTCAATGCTAAAAAGTTATTAAAAAAAAACCCTAGTCGTTACCGGAGAATGGTTCCTCTAGTGCCATGGGATCATATTTGTTTTTAATACTGTTGCAGCTTTCAGAACATTAACAACTCATGTTTCTGGTTTACATTTTCAGAAGCAAAATTTAGCTATAAAAGTACAACTTTTCGGTTGTTTAATTTTAATTTGAAAGTGCATAAAGTATATAGATTCATGACCACCAAATGTTAGCGGATGGTGACGGGCACTTGTCTTTTGGTTGTTAATTCTTATTTTTATAAGAGAAAATAATCTCAGTGATCAAAAATCTCAGATAATATACGATTTTGATCAACTTTTTTTGGATTTGTGAAAATGTCCAACAAAATCACAATGCGATCTCTAATTTGCATTGCGATCTTCACTATCGTAAATTCGCGTTGCGATTTTTCATTGCGCGTTGCGATTTTACAGTTCGCGTTGTGATAGTCTACAGTTGTCGTTGCGATTTTCTAAATTCGTTGCTATTTTCCAAATTCGTTGCGATAGTCTACAGTTATTGTTGTAATAGTCTACAGTTGTCAAAATTCTTGTGATAGTTAAAAAAAATATTTTGTTTCTCTAAAAAGATAGTATATGTGCGGACGTGTTGAAGACACGTATTACCACGATCACGACCTGACCCGAGACAAGACGGACGGCGGCGGCGCGCGAGAGTCCCCTTGTTCTCTATCACTCAACAAGGAAGTGAGAAAGTCAAGTCTTAAATACTATTCCCAGTAGTGTTTTTAATACTATGTGGGATTTGAGCATTACCAATACTTGTTCTCAATACTATGTGGGATTGAGCTTTAAATAGTGATATTATTTTTGAATGTTTTGCTTAAAATTGCAATAATCGCGATTGATTGTAGATTGACTTTTAATTATGACATATTTAATCGTATAATACTAATCAATTGGTTGTTAATTCAGTTGTTTTAAGGTGCATGATTGTTAATTGTTTCCTGAATAATCACATTGTATTGAAAACAAGTGTTGGTAATGTCCAATCCCACATAATATTGGAAACACTATTGGGAATGATATTTAAGGTTTGGCTTTCCCACTTTCTTGTTGAGTGATAGAGAACAAGGGGGACTCTCGCGCGTCGACGCCGTCCGTCTCGGGTCGGGTAGTGATCGTGGTAATACGTGTCTTCGACACGTCCGTGCAGATATTATCTTTTTAGAGAAAATTCTTAAGAAACAAAATCTTTTTTTTTTAACTATCACAACGAATTTGGAAAATTGCAACGACAACTGTAGACTATCGCGTTGCGATTTTCAACTATTGCAACGCGAAATGGAAAATCGCGTTGCGATTTTCAACTATCGCAATGCGAATTTGCGATAGTGGAGATCGCAATGCGAATTAGAGATCGCATTGCGATTTTGTTGGTCATTTTCGTAAATCCAAAAAAAGTTGGTCAAAATCGTATATTATCTAGGATTTTTGGTCGCTGAGGTTATTTTCTCTTTTTATAATAGTGTTTAAATTATTTTTTTAAAAAATTACCCATAAATCAATTAAATCATTTACTTGACTTCAACTACATTTTTCCTTTAATTTATCTTTAGCTAATTAATTGTTTGTCTAAACCAACGTACATCTCCCCACCCCTAATTGTTGGTAGTATGAGATAATGGCAATAATCATGATTATGATCAATATCATGATTTTTTATTTGCATATCTTAAATCACATTATATGCCCATCAAATCGCTTTCCTCCAAGTCTCCATTTCTACTCAACATCGGCAAGGGAGTGTTATAAAAATAATTATTATTATCATAATTATTATTTTGTTGAATTTATCTTAAACTAGTTGGCCACCATAAATCTAAATTTCAAATTTCTAAAATATCTTCATTATCACCAAATTAGAACCACATACGCAGAACTAACTAATACTCATTAAAAACAGAGTTCAGACTCAGAGTATCCAAATTTGGGAGATGAAATGTTTTGACGAGGAATAGGTGAAAAAGAATGAAAATAAATGATTGGAGAGGTCCAATGCATCTAAATATTCCATAAGGGTGTGTTTGGTTGGGGGAATGTGAGATTCTAATGGGAATAGAATCCACATTCTCCCGTTTGGTTGGCCGGAAATGTCATTCACGGTAATCTTATATTATCAATAGTAGATTTTTTTGGGTATATTACCGGGAATGTCATTACCTCTCTTTCCTTAGGTATTGTTAGATTACCTGTGTTTTGGACCAAAATGCCCTTAAAAAATTTTTCTTTAAAAAATATCCTTATTTTGTCATTGAATAATAAAAATTCTACGAATGTTAAATTATAAATTTATCCTTAAACTATTTTATATTTACAAAAAAAATCTATAATTAAAATTTTATATGAAGATCAAGGTTTAAAATAAAATTTTACCCTTTCATTAAACATTTTTATATTTTTAATTTTGTAAAAAAATTATATAAATTTTATGAATTTAAATTTTCTAAAGAAAATATATAAATATTTTTCAACTTGTTAAAAAAATAAATATATAATAAGAACAATTTGGTAAAATTTACATTCCAATAATCTTTTATTCTTTTAACCAAACACGGTAATCTTACATTACTGCTAAACCAACCAAATACAAAATACAACATTTTCAATAATCTTATTTTATGATCATTCTTACATTTCATTAACCAAACGTACCCTAAGAAGAATGAAATTAGAACCGAAGGTGGACAAGATGGGTCAAAAAGTTCTGCCTTTATTGTACGGATAATGGTACAAATATAAGGAAAGAAAAACCCCAAAATGCCATTCCCATCCCAATTTAAACTTGCTAAAAAATTATAATTATGTCTCGCAGCACCTTGAAATCTGTTTATTTTAATTATTTTTCTCTATTTAAATTATAAAATAAAAAATAATTTAAATCATAGTAATGTATTATAAAATTAAATTTGAACTGAATTTTGATATCATAAAAATAAAAAAAATCTATTTATAGTTAACTGTATATTAATCGTAGATGAATTAGCTATTCAAAAAAAGTAATTAATCATTAACAATAAGAAAATTTTAATAGATAATAAATTAATTTAAAAAAATAACAAAAAAATAAGTTCAACTCAAAGTAACATGTATAGTTAAATTAAAATCAAGTTTAAAATATTTAGAATATATTTGCATTAAAAGTTATAAAAAATGAAAAGATGGTGAAAATAAAATATACCCCATTAAGACAAGTTCTTACAAATAAATAATAAATTTGTTTTTCATCTAAAATTCAGTTATTAAATAAATTATAGTTTATTTTTCATCAAATTTTAGGGAGATGAATGATATAAAGATGATGAACTCATATAATTTTTTAAAGAAAATATTAGATACTTAGTTGTACTAAAATATAAAAACAGTACATAATTACATCAAAATATATATACCTACTTGCACTTTAAGAAAAAAAACTGAATTTCTTATTTCACTGTTAAAAAAGTTAAAAATCTGAATCATAGAGTGACTGCAATAATAAGAAAAATATTATTTTTTTAAAAAAAAATTGAATTCGAACATCTAAGATATATGTATGTTGTAAGAATCTAAAATAAAGAAAAGGTAATAAGATTAGGGTAAATTACACTATTTCTCACTGTACTTTACTTTCTCTCCTATTTTATTCATTATACTTTCAATTTTTTTAATTTTCTCACTGAACTTTATACATTGAAAAACTTTGGTCACTCTGTTATCTTTCTAACGTTGTTAACGCCGACCACCGCAGATGGTGGTCGATTGGTCTCAAATTTCATGGTATGTTTTAATATAATAATTCAAATAGTACGATAAATTAAATAGTCGAGAGAGTAAAATTTAGTGATGATCTATGTAATTTACCCATAAGGTTATGTTTTAAGAATATACAAAGGTTTATCCTTTTTTTCTATTATAAATCCCAAATAGGCGTTTATAAATAAAATTTTGAAATTCAAAGACAAAAAGAATTCAAGTAAGCATGGTAGATGATGGTCGAAGAAGCCACGTAAACTGACCCATTTTTTATTATCAATTGAAATTACCGAGATAATAAAAAGCAAAAGATTTAACTTTTTATTAAAGAAGTTTGGAGGGTTCTCTTGATCTGATCCGTCGATCCGGATCTAAAAAAATCGGATAATTCTTTAAAAAAAATTATCCGGCCGGGTCGGGTACCCGACCCGACATTTCCCGGTTCAGGTCCGGGTCACAAAATCTAGTTTTTTCGGGTACCCGATTACCCGAGTACCCGGTTAGTTTTTATTATTTTTATTTTTTTATATATAATTATATAAAATATAATGAATTATTTATATTATGGATTATTATATTTTGTATTTTGAACTTTTAAATTTTATGTTCGGATATTAGATTATGTAATTCGAAGTTTTGAACATTTAAATTTGTGTATATATTTTTTTTAAATTAATATTTTGAAAATAAAAAATTAAAAATCAGGTATCGGTACCCGATTATCGAGTACCCGTAAAATCCGGGGTACCCGATTACCGGGTACCCGTAACATCCGAGTCGGGACACAGACCGAGAAATCGTCGACCCGAAAGTTCCAGGTACCCGGAAATCGGGTACCCGGATTTGCACACCCCTACCCATACCTATATAAATATCCTAAGGGTGCGTTTGGTTCACGGAATGTAAGATTACCAGTGGGAATAAAAGATTACCAGGGAATAGGATTACTGGGAATGTTGTATTTTGTGTTTGGTTGGTTTAGCAGGAATGTAAGATTACCGTGTTTGGTCAAAGAAATAAAAGATTATTGGAATGTATATTTGACCAAATTGTCCTTATTATATATTTGTATAATATTACAAATTGTAAAAATATTTATATATTTCTTTAAAAATTAAATTCATAATATTTATAATTTTTACAAAATTAAAAATAAAAAATGTTTAATTAAAGGGTAAAAAAATTTAACCCCTAAACTTCATATAAAATTTTAATTATAGATTTTTTTTTGTAAATCTAAAATAATTTAAGGATAAATTTGTAATTTAACATTCGTAGAATTTTTATTATTCAATGACAGAAGAAGGA